GTATGTTTATTAAAAGGTTAAGTTTTAACCAAAGATTATAAGTGCATAAGGTCATTGAAAAATTTATTTTAATAGAAAAGATATCGAACTTGTAACATTCAACCAGTGTAACATACAGCCCCGGTTTCCCCTACATAAACACCGCTTATATCAATTCCTAAAATGTTTGCTGGTCGGATATTTTTTTCAACTTTTATAAATTTTGTTCGTTATAGAAAAAACATTTTTTTTATAGAAACAGTTTTATATGTGAAATTTCGGGGGACAAAATTTGTTATATAGAAATTTTTGTTGTATAGAAGTTCGTTATAAGGAGGTCCGGCTAAATATAAATAAACATTTCTATGTTTTTGTGGGCATATTGAAAATTGTAAAAAACTGTAAATGTGACAATTTCAAAGAGCAGAGTAAGCGAATAGTGACTGAAAAGTGATGGTAAGTGTTCATATGTATCTTTACATCTATGGTTCAGAAATTATACAGCAAAAGTATTTTATGAAAAATTGCAGGAAACAACCATGAAAAAAAAACACTCCAACTTAGATATGAGCACGAGTTTAATCGATAAAAATACTGAATATAAATAAACTTAAAGTTTTTTAAAGATCGCTCACTTGCCCAACTTCATGGACAGTGAGTTATTATTGCCTCACGGTGGCCCACTGTTTCGATTTAATGTCGTCTGTGTGTTAGTACACTACTTGTATGTATGCAAGCGTATGTTTTAAAATGAGCGAATAACGCAAGTTAGCGAGTATTCATATGCTTTCGAAATGATGTCGTAAAGTACATGTTACGGCATGAGATGTACGCACGTGTACAAATTACGAGCTAGTCTTGACCATGAAATTTTTAACTCGATTTTTATGACACACACACAGATATATACATATGTATATATATATATATATACAAACATATGACATATGTATATATATTCACACTTAGACATACGCTTAAATGTTTATCATTTGGATGTCGTTTTTTGATTGTTCAAAAATTATGAATGGAAATAGATGTCAATAGTCATAAATTTTCATCATCTTGTTGACAAATTTTTAAATGCAATAACGTTTTTATCGTTAGAATAGAGTGTTTCATTTAATTTATTCCCTTCAAATTATTTTATAGATATTTTTTATCATATTTATATGTATTGCATGAATTCTACCGAATTTTTTACATTAATCAAATTAAAGTTTGTCTTTTCAATTTTCTTTACTAGAATTTTCTGGAAATTGTTCAATTTGTTGAAAATAGAATTATCCAAGTTCATCATGAAAAATTAATGAAATTGTTATTCAAATTCATCATGCAGATAAGGCCTTAGTTCGATTTTTCATAAATCATCTTCAGTGCAGGTTTGGTTTATATAGTTTCTTTAACAAAACAGAGTTCTTTAGCAATTTATTAGTTAATGTCGTATTCTTCATCTTTGTTATTGCCATTCCTTTGTTCTTGTTAGAGGCAAAACAAAAAAAAAGTTCAGCATATATCAGCTACGCTGAATAACCTATTAGATTAATGGAACAGATGCGAAATAGCTGTTACCATCAAAGATGAACTCAAAAAAGCCTAAGAATATAACACTGAAAAACAAAGGAATGACAAGAACAAAGATGAACATTAATAATAGCGGCTTAAAAATATTTCTGCAAACGTAGATTTTTTTACGAAATATTTAACATTAAATAAAATTAATAAGCTTTTAGGATGCGTTATTGATTGAGATCCATACACTGAATCGCTTCAAAACGGCTAAGCTTGTTCCTTTTGTTATGAATCCTATGAGAGCGAAAAGTTGTTCCTTGTTTAGATAGGCAATAACAATCGGCAATCGTTCTTTTATACTTATCATGTTTTAGCTAGGCAATAATTTTATATCACAATTATAGACACAATTAGGGAAATATTTTTTGGAAATCAGATTTTATACTTTTTGCTCTCTCCTTACGGACCTGCATTCTAATCCACGAAAGTTGATGCTGCTTAAAATCGTTTGATGAAAATTTGTCGAGTCAAACTTTTAGTAGATTCACAATAGATAGACAATCCAAGTTTTAATATTGAGATATGAAACCAGGAAACCAATTTACAATTTAAAGTCCTCGCTTTGATATATTTAGGATAATAAAAACCATGATAATTGGGAATTAAGTTAATGAGAAACTAGGATAATGAGAAATCATAAATCGCAAATATAATTAAGCGTGCTTATCTTGCAATTTATTAAAGCAAATTTATCTCATGCATTGATGGATATGATGAATGTTGGTGACAATAGCAAACAATCAATAATTAATGGGATTTTGGATAGGTTTGTTTCTGTTATTAAAGGTGCTATTAATAAATTTGTACCAATAAAGTATATAAATGAAAATGAAAAAAAAAATTCCTTAAACTACCAAATTTTGTTTTAAATTCAATAAGAGAAAAAAATGTATTATGGAAAAAGTTCACTAAGTACAGGGATTATAAGATTTTTGATGATTTTAAAAAGGTGAGAAACAAAGTTAAAAGAGACATCAAGTTAATAAAGATTAATTATTTAAATGGTTTGGGTAAATTGGTTAAAATTAATCCTAAGATATTTTGGAAACAGGTAAATAATATTAGAAAGGATAGGTTTTCTATAGATAGCTAGAGGGAAATAAGGAGGGAAATAAGGAGGGAAATAAGATTGTTGTAACAAATGAATGTGAAAAAGCAAATGTTTTAGCTGATTTTTTTACAACTGTTTATAGTAATAGTAAAGGGGGATAATGATTGCATACTTGAAACTGTTTTGTGTGAAGAAACAATTAACTTAATGAACGCGAATGATTTTGAACGACAGGTTGTTTTCAACAAACTGAAATTGTTGGATGTATATAAATCGTCTGGACCAGAAAACATTAGTGCAAAGATATTGTTTGAATGTAAAGAATCTATTTATGATTACTTAAGTTCATTATTTAATAGGTCTTTTGAATGGGGAGTCATACCTAATGTATGGAAAAAAAGTATTGTTACAGCCATTTATAAAAAAGGAGATAAAAAGGAAGCTAAAAATTATAGACCTGTTGCACTGACATGCATAACATGTAAATTGATGGAGTCTATAATATAGGATGCTTTGATGTCACATTTGATTGAAAGTGGTTTGCTGAATACAAAACAGTTTGGGTTTTTCAAGGGAAAATCAGCTGTTCTGCAGTTGTTAAAATTGATGGATGAATGGTCTATGGCTGTGGATAAAGGTTATGGGATTAATGCAATATATACTGATTTTGAAAAGGCATTTGATAGAGTCACATAGTGAATTAATGGTTAAGTTGAACAAATGTGGGTTGAATGACAAATTGGTTGCTTGGGTTTATAATTATTTGAATGGAAGAACATTTCGTGTGAGAGTGAATGATGGTATGTCAAGATATTGTGAGGTAAAGAGTGGAGTTCCACAGGGTAGTGTGCTTGGGCTAATTTTGTAAATGGTGTTGCGATGTACATGTATGCAGATGATGCAAAGTTGTTTAAAATTATGAACTCAGATAGGGATAGTGTGGTTTTGCAGAGGGGATTGAATGATTTGAATGAGTGGTGTGTGCAGAATGATGTGAAATTGAATAAAGAAAAATGTGTTGTGATGAAGTTTGGTTGTTCTGTATCAGATAATAATTATGATTATAAAATAAGCTCGCACCCATTACTTTTTGTTAATAAAATTAAAGACTTGGGTGTTATTTTTGATACACCTCTAAAATTTATAGAGCATATACATTGCAATGTTAAGAAGGCATTTTCATTGTTGGGTTTGATAAACAGAAATTTTAAAGAAATTGATAAAAATGTTTTTATGTTATTATATAAATCCTTAGTTAGATCTCAGCTGGAGTACGCAGCAAGTGTGTGGTCACCATGGACAATACGTGAAACAGAAGCAATCGAAAAGGTTCAGAAAAGGGCAACAAAGATGATCAAGGACTGTGAGGGAATGAAATATGAGGACCGATTAAGATTTTTACAACTGCCAACACTAAAATACAGACGAATAAGAGGTGATTTGATAACGATGTTTAACATGTTGAATGAAAAGGACCAACAAAGCTTGCCGGAAATATTGAGAGCCACCAGACGAACAAGAGGACATGAGATGAGGCTAACAGCATTGACATTCCATACGAACTTAAGAAAAAATTATTTTTTTAATAGAACTATTAATATTTGGAATAATTTGAATGATGATGTTGTTAATTGCAGTGATTTGAATGAATTTAAAAAAATTGGATGATTTTCTTATGAATGCTAAATTTAAATACGATTTGAGAGCGGAGTTGAAGTATGACTACTCGTGAATGCTGTTTTGGATGATGGTATAAATGTTAGTTTTGACATGATTGTCTTTAAGAGAGGACGATATATATGAATGGTTGAAATTAGAATTTTTATGAAGAAATGTTTGCATACATATATATAGTTGAATTAATAATAGAAGTTATTCTCTTATATTTTTGTTTATATTTTTTTTGTTTGATCTTTATGTATGAACAGAACATATTAACGTATATTCATGTACATTGTTTATGTGTTAAAATTTTGTAGTTAATTTTGTGTCGCGTGCATAGGGACATTTAGTCTTCGCCCATGTTTTTTCTCATAATAATAATAATAATGATAATAATGTGATTATCATCTTGAAATAATTAATTTGACTGCGTTGTTAACGACAACGACATTGTTCCAATCTAATTTTTGTTATCTTAAGTAGAAAATATTTCGACAACATATCAATGTCTTTGAAAAAAAATTAAATAAAACAGCCAGAATCCTTCATGAAAAAATTAAATAATACTAACAACGAAAAAAAGCAATATAAGCGTGAAATTTTATTGTTTTTTCAGTAATTCTCTCTTTTGATCAATTTTCAATTTTTTGTTGTTGAACGGATTATTATTTGCAGAATTAGTTGTGCTTTGTTTAGCCATTGGTTTATCCATTGGCTGTAATGCAGCTTCATGACAAATCCACAATTGATGATACGGATTGACAATAAAGTTTTTGGTGGTCTTGCAACTCAAACATTCAACCACTTGAACTTTTTGTTTATGCTCTTGGAAAAAAAACCATCACGTTATTAAATAAAATTAAATTATATAATCAAAATTGAAATACTTTTTAATTTTTGTATGCGAGTGGAGCATGATAATCCTGGGATCAGTAACATAGAACACTTCTTGCAGAATTGGCGCTTTATTTCTGGATGTCTAAAATTATTTTAACACAAAATTTGCTGAACTGTAGATGTGAAATAAAGATCAAGGCATAAAAAAATCTTATGACGATAGCTGATAACCCTAACCTAAAAAAACTAAATTTTTGTTATTTACTTTTTTCAACTAAAATTTTTTTGCTGCTTAGCAGTTGTTAGTAAATACAATAAAACAATTAACATGACAAATACCAACCACATTTAGTTTACAATCAAACATTTTAATTTTTCTGAATCATAACAAAAATTGAAAAGATTAGTTGTAAACTAAATAATGGTGAAAAGAGTTATGGAAAACTTAGTCCAAATGAGGTGCTTGGATGAAGATGTTAGTATAATAGTAATAAAACACGATATGACCAACGATTATAAAAAAAATAGGGTTAAACAAGATGTTGGAGGAAGTGAAACATTGACTGGAATCTGAGACTAATGTTTTATAAAGGGTGAAGGGAAGGTAGGAATGTGGCGGATAATAAGGTTCAAGAAACTGAAATCAAGGTGATTGATTGCATGGTTTGGAAGGATCAATTGCACTGTTACAAACTTGCTAGTCTTATTAACAATAAATCTTCAAATGATGCAATTTAAACCACGTAGGTTTGCTAACATTCGGTCAATAAATGCAAAGTTTGATTTAAAATTTATTCTGTAAAGATCTGGATATGTTAATATTGACTTGGCATGGTTCATTTAAAAAAGTCTGTCTAGGTTTGACCGTCTTACCTAATTTCTTATTTCTCAGTTTTAAAAAAGCATGACACGCAGAATGGTGGTATCATAGTTTTTTAATTATCTTAAACATCCTGCTGAACAGCCTTTTTTCTGAGTTGCTTAATGTTTTTAGTTCCTTTCGTTTGTCTAAACGAGTTTTGGGTCCGACTCATATAAATGGAGGAACTTTGGATCTTATTGCTGATGATTTTCCGACGATTTCGATCAAAGCTTCTTCTTGGGGCTTTTTTTATCGGATCAATACTTGTCTGAAGTTGGGTTTTCAGTTGAAATCACCTATCTAGTCGAATAAACTAGAATTGATAGGGTTAGACTAAACTTAAATAAATACATAGTACTCAGTCACCTTCCTCCGTCTCAGGTAGTTGATCGCTTGAAATCAGTTGAATGACATCAGTTGAATTGTTGCTGGTGCCAAATTTCTACTCCCTGATGCAAACAAACTCCTAACGAAAACTTCACAAACGATTAACCCAGAAAATTTGCTGTTAAAACAATGAAGAAGTTGACGATTAATCTTTGTCTGCCTTTCATATCTTTGCAAAATAGTGCAAAAAAGAATGATGTCTCGATGTTGATCGTTTTCAAGTAGTCGACAATGCCAGACTCATGTCACATTTCTTCACATTGCTGACACGGTAAAACAAAACCTCCACATCATTTTATCTTTATTTTGGATTCATTTGATGAATGTGATCCGACAACGTTTGGTGGTGAAGTATTTCTTTGATGTCAAAGAGACGATATATATAATGATTATATAAATATATTGATAAAAAAACCATAAAAAAAACCAAAAAACCATAATTATATACATATATATCAAAAAAATAGCAAACACAGAATTATATATATAAAGCTTTACAATTTCAATGTAATATAAAGAATAAGCACAAATATTTTAATGTTTAACAAGCCTTACAGAGTAAAATAATAAAGAACTTATTAAAAATTAAAATAAACACTAACATTTTAATTACATTCTTTTTTGAGATGCTTTTAAATAAATCTCCATAAAATTTAATCAAATTGTCGTTTTTTGGTGTTTGTTTCAACATAGTGTGAGCAGCCTGAAAATTAATTTAATAATTGTCAAAATTGTTATTCTTGCTATTTTTAATGATTTTAAATTATGAATGTATCATAAAATCTGGATGCATAACAGAGATTGCAACTGCTTTGTCAAGCTAGGCACTTTTTAGGTTATAAATTTTAATTATAAATAAAATATTCTCAATACATACATGATAAAGCAACAAAAAATAATATAACGATGTAATATAACGATGTAGTAAAGGATGGTCTAGAAAAAAAATGAGGTAAAACACAAAATTAAAAAAAGTCGAAGAAAGAATAAAAGAAACAAAATTATCTAGTAATATAATAATCTATCAACTACAGCTGTACAAAAATGCGGCTGTCAGGTAGAGGAACTGAGAATTGATAACAAACAATCAGCCTTGAAACTGATGAAGGATGCTTTACAAGTCAAATATGAAAAATGTGACATCAAATAAATGTTCAGATTGAACAAGGATAAATCTGGCAGAAGTCCACAGTTGATTGAACTTCGAGAAAGGTTAGTGAAAAATTTTATTATGGAATTTTTATCAAAACTAAAAACAACGGAGAAAAAGTCTTTTAAAAAATTCGATTTGTTAAGATGACAAAATCCAAAAGAGATCAGTGCAAAAAATTGGTAGAACAAGGAAAAGACACGTCGAGGAATTTATTTATCGGGTAAAAAGGACACCAGAAAAAATGAAAATAAAATAAAAAAGACGCCAATAAAAGCAAACTAGGTTAAAAAAGTTAACCCGCAGCAAAAAAAATTTCAGTTAAGTGGAAGTCATGTTACAAACTCAACAATGAAAAAAGTTATTAACAAATTTTTTACGTTTATTGTGTCCAATGTGGATACATTTTCTAAGAGATGTTTGTAAATGATGCGTCTTCATCATTTGACCTAATTATTTGGAACGAGATTAACTCAAAACACTGCGTATGTGCACCACCAATTTCTGAATTTCAGTTACTTGATTTTGCAATTTTCTCACCCGGATTTGCTGACAAAGTCTGTCGTTGTATTATTCCTTTTTATAGAAAGTCACTGCTCGTCAGCCACACTCATATATTGGAGTGACAAATACAACCAGCGCCGGATTAATGTAAGGGGAATATGTCTCAAAGCTAGGGCATCCTCTCGACAGGGGGCCTCCTCTCGTTGACTTTTAAAATTTTTACTACATTTTTGAATTTAATAAATCATTTTGCCATATCTATAAATAGATGAAATTTTATCTAAATATAAGTGAGAATTTAGCTCGACAATTGCATAAAATTCAAATGCGCCATTTAAATCTTTGCCCATGGCAACTTATTTGAATGTTCGTTTTTAATTTTATCACAAAGTAAACGCCAGGGCCGTTTTAAGGTCGTCGTAGGCCCTAGGCACTTTTGCATATCTGCATTTGTAGACTATTGTAGTGGGCCTCAAATCGATTAAAATATAAATTCTGCACTAATACGAGGCGTAAATTGTGTAATTGTAAATACGATTACAGCATTTTTTGACAACATTGTTGTGAACCATTTTTTGTTTTGAATATTTTTTTATTTACGCACCCTTGGAGGTTTTGATATTTTTAATCTCAATTCAATTTGTGAAGCTTGACTTAATAACTAATTATTTTCCGGTTCCGGTTATCCAATATTTCGTCTACCATGTCTATGTAAAATAAAAATGCTTATTAATTTTTAATGTTTACCAATTAGTAATTTTTAATTAGTATTGGTAATTATAAATAATTTTAATTTTAGAAATCATGTCTGATGGATACCACAGAAAACACGAGTCTGGATCTGAAAAACGAAAGAAAAAGGAAGAGAAAGAAGAAGCATTAAAAAAGATGAAAGGTTCCATACTAAAATATATAAATGATGATGACAAGCCAAAATATGACACAACTGTCACCACCAATGTCTCAATACCAAAAATATTGCCGAACAAAACTGACAAACAAAGTGAAACAGATCTTATTAATGAAAAAACAGAACAGATCTACCAGTCTAAAAATAAACAGCTTCAATTTGATAATCCAGATCCAGAACTAGCAGATAGCGAAGTTTTAAAAATGTGGCAAAGCAATGAATGCAGAATCAGTGGTCCACTGAATGGGAAATAAATGCAGATCTTATGCACTTATGCAGAAAAAGTCCCTTCACAGAATTTAAAAAGTGATTTTCTTTGAATGGGTAGACAATTTAGAAAAAAGATAAGATAAGCACGAAAAATCGGAAAAGTTGTCAAGAGAGATTTATTCTCCTTCAACAGGTAAAGTGTTTTGTTATGTGAGCAAGCTATTTGGTTGCAAATATGGTGATGTCAATGAATCTGGTAATGGTAATCAATTTCAAACTGGCTTTGATGATTGGAAAAATGCAACTGCAATGATTACTTTGCATGAGAAATCTAAAGACCATATTGCATAGACCAATGAGGTTGCAAAGTCAAAAGTCCACTAGAATTGATGCAGAACTCAATAAAAAAAAGAAAAATTGTTTAAATACTGGACTGAAAAAAATCATTGCAGTTATAAAATTTCTTGCTGAAAGAGTATTAGCTTTTCGTGATGAAAGTGAATTGCATAACTGCCATAACAATAGAAATTATCTTGGCTGCTTTAACCTTTTAGCTAAATTTGATCCGTTTTTTTTGGAACACATTCGAAAATATGGAAACTTGGAAAAAGGAAATGTATCATATATGTATTCAACTATATGTGATGAGTTCATTGATATATTAGACTCCAAAGTATTGATACAGATAATTTCTGAAATAAACAATGCAAATTATTATGGAATTAGCATAGATTCAACTCCTGATATTAGTCACATTGATCAACTTACAGTGGTTATTCGCTATGTCATCCCAAATGGAAATGTTGTGGAATGATTTTTTCAGTTTTTTCTAATTAAACATCACGATGGAAAATACTTGTTTGATCTTGTAGTGAATAATCTTAAGCTTCAATTTGCTGAAGTAAATCTTTCCAAATCACACACATTAGCGCAGTCTCATAATTGTCTAAATTTGTTATTAACGATTTTGCTTCATAGACAGCTGCTAGTGGTTGGCGTTCATTTTCAGTGATATCGGATAATGCTAGGTGAATCTCCTAATTGTTTGCGTTAAAAGCTTTTGTAGCATCACTACGTGCTGACCATCTTGTTTCTGACGATTGTGACCTGCAATTACTAATATCAATACCATGATATAACCAATAAAGCTTTGCAGCAGTCTGGCATAGGTTTGTGCATCATCATCAAATTGTATAACAGTCTCACAAAACATTTTCATGAACCACATTATAATTTCAAAGCGTTTGAAAATATGGCAAAAAGTCTTACTAAATCCGATTACAAAGAATGTACAAAGCGCAAACATGTGCAAAAAAGATTTCATGACAAAGTTATGGAGACAGAGTATATTATGATACGAGTTCATATTTGAATGCTGTGACAATTTCAGTATCCAGTCTTTCTATGTTATCATAGATAGACTTATAATGGAGATAGAAAAACAGCGAGCAGCTTACGCAGGATTACACCACAGGTTCAGTTTTTTCTTGACAGATTTCTGTTAAGTGATGAAATAGTTTCTAATGCAAATGAATTAATTAAGATATTTTCATCCCTTATTCATTTTTATTTTATTAATGTATTTAATTTGGGACCTTAAACTTTAGCATAAGCAGTATTAATTAATTTGGGACATTAACTACTTACTACAAACTACACTGAAAATTTTAATTTTGGCGTGTAAATTTATTGTAAAATTCTATTCAAAATTCTAAAAGTTGATTGTACTGATTGCTTCAAATTTCAGGATTACAATAATATATAATTTGTGATTAAAATATCAGAATTATGGATAATTTGTTGATAATTTATTTTTAAGTTTAGGTGATGCGTAGTTTTGACACATGGCTTTGTTCAGATCAAATTTTTCTTTAAATTTGGTTCTCGATTTTGGTTCTCGACTTTTTAAAAGAAGAGAACTGGCCGAAGATGTGCAACACAGCCGGTGAACCAGCCGAAAGATTGCACGAATGGTGCGGAAAGATGTTGCAACTGCTTTCTTCTCTAACTGACTGAGTGAAACAGTTGAAGGCAAGAAATGAGAAGAATTTATTAGAAACAGAAACATTGACGACGAACCTCGAATAGGCAAAAAAGGTAGCAAAACCTTGTATCAGTACTGAGTGGGTTGATGTGATGGGTTGAATGGGTCACCAGAGATGCAAAAAGAGTAAAAAAGCCTGTAAATCAGTGAGTAGTGACCAACACCACTGTTGGTGAGATGCAGGAGAGAGAAAAAAGAAAAATTTTGTTATCTACGGAGTACATGTGACATAAAAAGGCACATGGCGAAACCAAAATTAGAGAGATTTTCAAGGCTATAGATAAATGTGACATTTCAGTAGCATACTCAAAAAGATTGAGATTAAAAGACCTAACAAAATCTGGGCCATTATTGGTTGATTTGTCTGATGCTGCTATCAGGAATCCCCTCCTCTTGGCAGCTAAAAACTGAGAGAATTGAGCTAACAGCTAAATTGAGAGAATTTGACAAATTCAAATCTGTTTACAATTTACATTAGTCCAGATTTGACAGAAGCTGAAAGACACTGGGCATAAGTTTACATTCCGAACTACAACGTTTGTTTACATTCACTATCTCTAATAGAGAGTAAAATAAGCTCCTCCTACTGAAATGCAAAAAGTGCACTGAGATTAAAATAGATGCATGCGCTTTTGCCTTTTATATGTTTTTATTATAATATTATTATTATATATTTTATTTTAATTTGTACGTATATTACACGTTATCTGTACGTATATTATAGTTTGCACATATAATTCAGTAAAATAATGTGTATAACGTATATGTGTGTAAAGTTGATGTGTGTATATGTGTCAGGGTTAGGGGCAGGGTTAAGTTAGGTTGTCGTGAAAAAATAATATTGAAAATTAATTGAAAATAGAAGAAATGATAAAATGAAGTATAATAAAATTGTTTGTTCTATATGTTTCGTGTTGTTACGATGATGGTGATGTCGCGTCAGCGGCAGATGATATTACTCAACGATGTCGGCATACCTTTCAATGTAACCTTGGTTTTTTGATAAATTAAAGTTTTATTGAAACAACCACGAGAACAACCACGAGAACACAGAAACGTTGAAAAAGGAAATACAAGTGACTTTTTTTGAAACTTTAGAAAAAAAAACTAAAAACTTCCAAAAAAAATATTATCTCAATCAACTTTCTGCATATTAGTGGGAGGGGCTTTTGTAACTCTCTATTAGAGATAGTGATTTATGATTGTAAACAATCATAAATGTTAACAAATTTTAACATTGTAAACTTTTGAATTAGCTGAATTAGCATGCTCTCTGGATAACCTCCAGAACAGCATTACCACTACTACTACTACTACTACTACACTACAGGATTGCCAAATTTGATTAATAATTGTTATTGTGATAATAAAATAATAAAAATGAAATAACAAAATTACCTGAAAAATGAAATTCAAGCGCAAAAATGCATCTCGTTTGGCGCAGTTAGCAGCCATTATTAAATTATTTCGTTACTTTATGAAATTGTATTAAATAAATTTTTTCAATTCAACGAACGATAAAACGCGACCGATACCGAAAATTGTTTACACAGTCAAAATGTAAACAAATCACTTTTAATATCAGCACAACAATCATAAATAATGGAATGCCCTGATTAACTTTTCATTAATATATTTTTTTGATGACATATTTGTTATTGTTATTATTTCATTAATATTTTAAAATATCTATTTATTTTAATTATATGATCTATATTAGTTCTTGTTGGATCACAAACTTACATGACAATCGCCCAACTCTTTTTTAAGCACGCGGCGATAAGATATATAAAATAACGGCAACTTTTTTTTACGCGCTGTCTCTGTTGAAATCGGTTCGGAAACATATTTTTTTATTTTATAAACAAGTTACTACACTACACACACAATAAGCTTCAATAAAAACCACTTGCAAAACAAAGATCTATTAAATAAAATTTTTTGGTAAATTCCACCGATTTACCACTGTTTATTTTATATCAATTTATAATATTCTAATTTTACAATTTGTTTTAGCAAATTTTTGTGAATAAATTTGTTACAAACAAGATTTTGTTTAATTTTTAACTCATAGTTAAGATAGAGTTTTGTTACATTTTGTTGATAAAAATTTTCTAAGACAAATTAAATAATTACAATATAAATTGATAATTTTTTTGATAAAAATTTACTTGGACATATTAAAAATATTAGAATATAAATTTATAAACGCTAATTAATCGATAAAATTTATCACATACAGTCAAGAATTCGGTTTTCTACCAGCATATTATAGACAATTTAATTTCTATTTACTCTTCCTCAATGATTTCTGCTTTGGAAGAAAAGCTGAAAAATGCCCAAAAACTGAGTAGTTGCTCGAAAGAGTTCAAATGAAATTTTCTTCTTACCTTACATAAGCTGAAGTAAAAAAAATTTTGGACATAAGAAAAAATCTGAAATTGCTCAATTTGTTAAAGATATTAAAAGATATAAAAGTATCAAAGATAAAAGGTATATTGCAGTTAGACAAATCTAATACATTTTATCAAAAGGTAAAGATTTAAAAGTTTTTCTGAGGAATCAACTGATTTTATATGGATATGAACAAAAGAACAAGCCTTGGATTTAAAATGCAATTAGAAAATAATAAATGCAGCCGTCATTAATGAAAGTGATGAATATAAAAGATGACTCAAAAATTATTTATTCGGAGAAGCACAAAATGAAAAAATGAGATGTTTGTTCATTTTTACTCATCAAACATCATATAACTTAATTCGTAGGGTGCTCGTAGTATTTTCGTTTTTTAGAATAGATCAAAACATTGTCTCAACAAGTGATAACTCGAAAGAAATTTTGCAAACAGATGGGTGTTGAGATCCGCTCTCAATTTCGTAAGTGATGGAGAAGTAGTTAAGGAAGGAGGTAGAGAGTTTCAGAGAAAAGGGCCAGAAAAAGATAACCCAGATTTAGAAAAAGAGTGTTTATCACGAGTTACAAAGAAGTGATAACAAGAAGACAGGGGCGTTTAGGTGCCTTTAATATATCTGTTAAGTACTTACAAAATAATTTAGTTTGAGATTTATACATTAATGTCCAAATTTTAGAAATTAATTTATATTTTATAGGTAGCCAGTGCAAGAGAACAAAATATGGAGATATATAAGAAAAATAAGGGCATGAGGAACTAGACGAGCAGTTTTACTTCAAGAACGGAGTGCAAAATCAGGAAAATCATAGTGTAGCAAATAACAATAACCATTCATGGATGAAACTAAAAAAGTATCAAGAAGGGAAGAGAAGGATCGTCAGGAAAAGGCAAAAGTTGGAAAAAAAAGTATAAATATAAGAATCATCAGCATGTAGTTGACTAATAAACAAAAAATTATTAACAATTTGAGATAACTCAGAAAAATGGAAAATAAATAGAAAAAGGACAAGGATAGAAACTTGAAATACCCCAAAAGTAAGAGTAGAGAAGTTAGAAGTGTTATTATTAAGAATAAAAGAAGAAAAACGATTACAGGGATAAGAAAACAACTAAGATAGACAAAAATCAATAATATTAAAGAGTGATCTAGCAGTTTCAAGAAAATAGTATGATCAAACAGTATTTAAAACAAAAGAGAAGTCGAGAGCAAAAAGAAGAGTAAGATTACTATTTTTACTTTGAATTCTTTAAAATGTATATCAAATTGCATCATGTTTTAGACAAGTTAACAAATCTTAATAGGTCTTAATAATATTATGAAAGTAAAAGTTGAATAGGTAGGATTTAGGCCAAGACTAGTAATATTACGCGATCATTTTAAAACCTTTGTATACTCTTTTTGGAGAAGAAAATGAAGAAAATTAGTTCTGCGCTTTGTTTTGTCGACTTCACAAAATTGTTTGACGTGACGAAGCTCAAATTTGTCTGAAACGTGTGTCGATGACCACAATAAGATAATGGCTTGGATTGACTGTTGTCGGAATCAAGTGTATTTTAGTTGAGAAAAAGTGATTGATATTATGTTGAAGTCACTAGTGGCAGATCTAGACTATGAAAAAGGAAAATACGGAATATTCTATGTACAATATAATAATATAATAAACTGAAAATACAAAAAAATTGTAGTTAACTTAACAATTTTGAAAATCATCTCTCCACCGAAATGGTAACAAATGAGCATAGACTTAAATGACCTAAACTGGCCATTGAACGCGCCTGTGCACATTTTCACCGCGCTTTAGGGTCTGGTGTCATTCTTTAGTTTCCATGAACAATTATTCATCAAATTCATCAAATGTTACAATTTTTACATTTTTACAGTTTATTAATAACTATTTATTCATTTAAAGTTTCTTTTTTCATTTTTAATTATTTTTTAATAGATTTATATCATGCATTTGCATAATATTTCAGCCTATTTAGTACCAATTTTCTGGTGTCATAGACACGCAGACTTGAGATCGTCGTGGTTAGTGATTGGTTCTATTTTGAGAACCCTTTATCCTTTATGAGTAACCCAAGATTATTATTTTCTATTCAGTGCGTTTAAAATTAAATAAAAAGGATTTTTTTTAATAATTTAAAAAGTGTCATTTTCATCATTTAATTTTAAATTTTATTAAGTTTGCCGATTATTTCGTACATTTTATTTGCCCCAGTAATTCAAAGTAAATATTTTAAAATATCTTTGCCAGAGCATTTATTATTTAATTTTATTTAGTGTTTAATTTATAAATTTGATTATATCTGTTAATTCTTGCATATCATCGATAGATTTGTCTAGCCACATTTATTTGAAATTTATTCGCCAGAGCTTATAGCCGAAAATCACCACATTCACCGATTTTGTTTTTTTTTAATAAAATCTTTTTGCAGCGGCGGGTTCGTTCAGTCGATTAGTCAATTGACAATACTGGGTTAACTTTGATTAATTCATTAATTTAATAAACGTTAATCGAATACATAGGATACTCTCGTTGGATAGCTATTCCAAAATACGCCTACCCTAAAAATTTCAGCTGGCTGGTGGAAAAGATTTGGTAAGTGGAACATCGGATGACAAGACGACAGAAAGGCAAGTATATAAAATGAAAGAAAATACAGAAAAGTGAATAAAAAATAATTTGATTTTGTATTCAGTGAACTGACGCACTCCGCAATAAGGTTTAACAAAAAAAAATCTTCACACATGAAACGTATAAACGTTTATTCCTCCCATCAAACCGCGGCAGCACCTAGAACATAGAGTCTTGCAAATCTGTACAGGGTAGTTGTCTAGTTAAAACAAAGGGATTTTTATCTTGTTTTATTTCTTCCTGCGCAATATTTTATTTATCTGGCAGTGTTGTTTTTGTCTCATGCATACCATAATGACAACGATCGTCAAATTTTTAGGCTACATTCTCAGTGAGTACACTAAGATATGAAAAAGGAAATGGATAGGATAGATGGTGGATGGATAAATGAATATATATATATAAATGAATAAACAGAAAGAGAGGGGTAGAAAATGAGAAACGGCTAGCGAAACAAAAATAAGAACGAGAATATTGTATAGAAATTTAAATATTTTAGAATAACAGCGTTTTTAATCAGCGCAAAAGATCAAAAAAAACTTTGGTTCAATTTAGATTAATTTTCTCTGTTTTTTAAATTAAGTCTTTACACTTTCAGCATTTTTGGCAACTTAACAAAAAAGAAAAACAAGATTCACGTAGCATGAGGCGAATAAATAATTTGCCCACGCACACACACGGCATACAAATTACGACGACGTAAAATACATACAAAATTTCAGAAATTTGACCAGTTTCTTGACTTGAGCAAACTAATGTTGAAATAAAATAAAATTTATATTTCATGTCAAATAAATTTTCAAGCTACATTTAGTTTTTAAATAATTGACTCGTCAAGCGGTTCCGAAAAGCACGGAGCCAATATATATATATATTCAATAAAAATGGCGACGTTTTTGAATGAATTATGAACGAACGTACAGCAGCCGGTTAATAAACCAGTTGAGTACGACCTACCGAGCGATATACGGAAAACCGCTGCACGGCAACCGATAAACAAGCCTTGTCTAATTAATATTAAAGAACGAGACAACATGGCTGCTAAAAACAGTGCTGGCATTTTAATGATAAACCACCTCAGAAAATCTGTGTTGCTGTTGTTGACACTGGAGATTTTTTGGGTTAAAAATGAAGAACTTTTAAGAAATGTTGCGTCAACTACATTGAAAACGTCTTTTTAAGTAATTGTTGGTTGGTTGGTTAAATAAGATAAACACATGTATAAACACGTGTTTGTGTGACAAAGTTAAACCCTGATACCGATGAACGTGTAAACATCTGGCTCTACCCTTCCTATTTCACTAGCATTCGTCAATAAATTAAATTAATTATTTCATTCATACTTTTTATTCAATTGACTGTTGTTTATGAAAATTGTTATCAATTCAAAATTCTTTCAGAAATTTGACCAGTTTTTTAACTTAAGCAAACTAATGTTAAAGTAAAATTTATATTTCATGTCAAATAAATTTTCAAGTTACATCTAGTTTTTAAATAATTGAACAACTGAACAAATTAATTTTTGAAAGGATTTAAAACTCAACGGACAAGAAGTTGCACGAACTTTTTCAAAACAGGTGCTCTGTAAAAATACTAATTCAGAAACGAAATGAAACGTAATAACAAATTAATTCATTGCGAAAAAACTTAATGTCAAACAAACTTATTTAAGCTTAAAAATTTTAAAATCTTTGACCATGGTTTGTATGGCGAAACGAAACCATTTGTTATTGTTATGGCAAATTAAATGATTGAAATTTAAATATGAAATCATACTTCAGTATAATTAAATTGGACCAATAATAAATTATCGTTATTTTTATTAACATTGTTTATTAATTATTTTCGAAAATTCAAACACCGTAGCGAATAATGATTTATCTAACTAATAAATTGATTCCCTTGCTAAGTTGATACATCTGATACATCATAAATGTTTCTTGACTGACGAAGATGATGTGATTTTGATGCAGTGATGGTCTTGATGGTGAGGATACATTGATACGATGATTGTAATAGTGACAATATGGTGATGTTGTTATGACCATAGTGATGACGATGATGATAAAGTGATGTAGATGATGTTGTGATGATGATGATGATGATGGTTACGGTGGTACATTAATAATGAGATGATGATTTCAAACGTTAATTTTAATAGCGCTATAATGTAACGACAAACTAATATTTTGGTGAAAGGAATGTTGTATCTCATCTATTTATATTTCTACAACGTCAAATTAAAGATTAATGAAGTAGCGAGGTAAGTAGCGAGAATACGTTCGATGTAACATGAAGTTGAATGACGAAAATATTAGCACGCAGGAGTTAATCATTAATGCTCTTCTAAACAGAAACCTTCATTTTTCAGTTATTTCATTCAAATTTTTACAGATAATCAATTTTTTTTATTAAACATTCTTTCATTGTGTGTCACAGAATAAAAAGATACATACAACGCTTTAATTGGGAAAAATGAAAGTCAAACTTTAGTCGTTGATGGTTGTTACATCAATTCAAATAATTTGGTAAGCTAATAAATCATGAACCACATTTTCAGACATATGCTCAAATAATTAATTACAATTCCACTGTTTCAGCAAAACAAATACAAGATGAAAACGGCAGACGTGCTTAGTTAGAGACCAGCTCCTCCGCCGCTTACACCTCCACTCGACCCCGCCATGTTCTTGCTGTAGCAGTTCAGAATTTTCTTGAAAGCTTTCCTAAACTCAGCGTTGAAGATAGTGTAGATGAGTGGGTTAAGGAAGCTGTTGATGTAGCCCAGCCAAACGAAGAAGGAGAACGCCATGGGGTGGATGTGGCAGGCGGAAGTTTTGGAGAAGAGATCGTACCTGATGCAGATGGCGTTGATGATGTTGATCGTGAAGAAGGGCATCCAACAAAACAAGAAAACAGCTGTGAGTGAATGAGTGAACGACATTTCGTGTTATATCACTTCATGATTACGTTACGATTCAATTTGATCAATGTTATTATTCCAAATAACTCTCACAAATAAATTTTTTGTGGAAATCGACAAGATTTAAAAAATATTCAAAAAAATCTGCAAAGTTTTTTTGTATGTCGAAAAATTCAAGTAAAGTTTCTTAACATTTGTAAATTTATTTCCAAAAATATTGGTATGGGTTACAATAAGGCTCCGCATCCACTCCAACATATTGCGAGGGCAGGAGTGCCTTCCTTCCACATTTTTACGAGAATCATGTTATAACCATTTTATTTTCAGTTCAGTGCAAGTTATAAATATAAAAGGATTTTATAGCAAGTGCCAAAATAATCTCTAATGATGATGCATGCATGAAACGTTGGAAGGAGATTAAAAGTTGACTAAGGCTGAAATTTGAAGATGTCGTGTGGGGTGCCAAAAAATGTCAACATTTGTGTTGTTTACAAAGATATATAGAACTAGTTATATATCTATGGTTGTTTCATATCATCATTGATATATTATGAGTAATAGAAATATATTAATTAAAATATAGTTATTTAAAATAAAATACATCATCAATCGATCGATCAGTCAGTCAGTCAGTCAGTCAGTCAGTCAGTCAGTCAGTCAGTCAGTCAGTCAGTCAGTCAGTCAGTCAGTCAGTCAGTCAGTCAGTCAGTCAGTCAGTCAGTCAGTCAGTCAGTCAGTCAGTCAGTCAGTCAGTCAGTCAGTCAGTCAGTCAGTCAGTCAGTCAGTCAGTCAGTCAGTCAGTCAGTCAGTCAGTCAGTCAGTCAGTCAGTCAGTCAGTCAGTCAGTCAGTCAGTCAGTCAGTCAGTCAGTCAGTCAGTCAGTCAGTCAGTCATTCATTCATTCAGTCAATCAAACAAACAAACTTATTGTTTTAACATGTTGATAGGTATGTATGTATTTATTAAATTTTTATTGACCTAAATGTTTTAGTCAAACAGGAATGCATCAATTGTTTGCAGGAAATTTTGTTTTAATAATTTCTCAAACATTCTGAGTTTCTTTATTTTAGAATGTCTTTTTTAGCACAACATTTTTTTTTGGAAAAAGTTAACACTTTCATCATCCATTCATTTCTTCCTGAATTTCATAGAGATTCATTTTCATTTTGCAAAACTTCTACAAAATGTTCATCAATTTTTTATGCGATTAGCATAGTTAATCTATCTAATTTTATGAAGCACTCTGCCGCGTTATCATTTTCCTCTCAACTGGCATCTAATTATTTCTTGTCATCCTCATCGTTATCATCATCGCCATCCTCATCACCATCATCATGACCTTTGCCACTATCATCATCATGACTACACCATCATCACCACCACCACCACCACCCTCATCATCATCATCATCAACATTAATGATGGTGATGAATCATCATCATCATCATCATCATTAATGATGGTGATGATGATGCTATAATGATATTAACCAATATCTTCATCAACACCATCATCATCATCATCATTAACAACATCATCATCAACACCGTCATGCAGTAATTATGATAAGCTTCATCTTCCTGTCTTAGTGATAATCACCCTGATGATCATCTTGTAATGATTACTATGATGGATAGATGGGTGGATAGATGGATGGCTGGATGGATAGATAGATGAAAAGATGGATGTAAAGCATTAATGAGGATAATGAAAATCAAAATTAGATGATGCCACCTCCATTTCTTATAAAATTTTTTTTGTACTTATATATATATATATATAAATATACACTTATATATATATAAGTATATACTTATATATATATATATATATATATATATACGTTGGTAATAGATCATAATTTTTACAATATTCTATAAATTCTACCGAATGTTTGGCGTTAATATGTTTGTAGTTCGTTTTTCGATTTTTCTCACTAAAGTTTTTTGGTGAACGTTTAGTTTATTAAAATTCAAAATAAACTTATTTTTTGAATTCATGCTGCAAATAAGGCCATATTTCGATTCCGAATGAATCATCATCAGAGCTCCTTGCTGTATATATAGGGAAATATTGACTTTGTCAAGATTAACTTTGACGTTGTAAAAATTAACTTTGGTGTTGTAAAATTGAACTTTGATGCGAATTAGGTGTCAGGTTTCTTTATTGGCTGGTCATTTTCTTTGGTCTCCTTTTCTTCATCGATAGCATCATATTCTTCTTTGTCACTATTTGCGATGCTAGTTTTTATTACTTCTTTGTCAGGTTTCTTCTTTGGTTTCCTTTTTTTCATCGATAGCATCATATTCTTCTTTGTCACTATTTACGATGCTAGTTTTTATTACTTTATTGTCAGGTTTCTTTATTGGCTGGTCATCTTCTTTGGTTTCCTTTTTTTCATCGATAGCATCATATTCTTCTTTGTCACTATTTACGATGCTAGTTTTTATTACTTCTTTGTCTACATCTATGTACCTAATAAAACACAAAAATTTTAAATATTCTACTTGAAAATACACAAAGACACGCTAATTTTATCTTTGGTCCCCAACGAGGTGCATTGCACTGCCTAGCCTTTGTTCAATATTTTATTCTTTGCTGCTATTTTGTTGTGAGTATTTTCACAATTGTGACAGGGAAAAGTGATGGAGAATATGGAGATGGATTTCTAAAGTTGCGTCTGTTGTTTTTTGAAAGGTACATTTGCGAATGAAGATTCAACATCAACTTTGAAGCTTGTGTGAGATTTGAAGGTGGATCAACAAATTCTTTGCTGGATTTTAAGTTGTTCTTTTCAGAAGTGTATGGAGTAATTAAAGTGTTGGATTGGTTACAGTTGGCACTTGAGTGATTAGAGTCCTTAATTGGTTCTCATTTTTGTGCGTAGGTATAAGATACAACCACTAATTTTATATATAGGGGCTACAATATATATATTATATTGTATATAATTTTCTTTAAAGTTTTAGGTTTGTTATTAATCTGAAATTAACAATGAACATAAACATACATTATTATGTTAAATATGCAGCTGTGTGTACACATATGCAAATGACCGCACACTGGGCTGGTTTTAGGCACAGGCAAACTAGGCATAGTGCCTCCGATTTTTAGGGGCCTCGCAATGCAGATTAAAACAACTTTTTTTAGAAATCCTACTACGATGAATTAATTTTATTTACCTAACTATTTTATTTTTAATTAATCCCAGTATTCAGGTTGAAATTTTTTATAATGTATAAAATTTTCTTGTGCACATTTTAAAAAAATGTCACTTGGGGCCATCAAATTTTCTTTGCCTCCTACTACCTAAGGCCGGCCCTGACCGCACACATAATTCACCTAAAACAGTGCTTTTATAATATTAATAGCCAATGAGAATTAGACAATACCCAGTCAATTTTTTTATAAACCAAAAGCAGACAAGACAAAAAAAGTGGCAGATAAAAGCAAACAAACAACAGTAATTAAATCAGAAAAAATCATTGAAATAATCTATCTTCTACTGCATTATTGCCTCTACATTCTTGCACGTTCGACTTTTCATCTCTTTCTGCCAGTTTCTCAATCGGTTGTACGTTTTTAAATTTGCATTTGAAGTGTTCAAAAGAGTGGCATTCAGAAAAGAAAATTTTATCGTATATATTTTCATCAAAGTTATAAAACGAATTTCCAGAATATTTTTGAGTAAATGCTTTGAATAAGCTATATTCTGCTAATGTTTGAGTAGCAGATTTTGATTTTTTGTGCGGCTGCTTCTAAAATTTTTCCAACCAGGGGTCCTCTTTGTGAGCTTCAGCTTTTACACAGAACATTGTTTTAAGTAGAAAATGAGCAAACAATTGACGTGGAAAGCAAAAGGTTTGGCCACAAAAGCCAAAGTTTGATTAGTTTTTTGGTCCCTATTCAAATTTTAAAATGTAAAGATTTTTTAAATTAGGACCCTCTGTCAAAGTTGTCCAGATTGACCCTTGCAAACTGCAATCAAAAATGTAATAAATATATAAAAATATATTAAGAAAACGACTCATCATCAATTAATTTATAACGTTTTATTGAGATATTTTTTGTATTCTATCCAAACCAGTACTCTATCACCTCTAGGTTTTTGTTTCTTTTTTACTGCCTTGAAACATAAAAAAGACCCCAACAAAATCATTATTAAACTAAAACTATTAAATGCCTTGAAACTTTTAGAAAGAACTCTTAAAATGTTGATGTTCTATATTTTCTTTGTTTATCTCGAAACGTGCTCTTCGAAAGTTTCATCTAGGTCTCGTCTCAAATTCTCAATGTTTTCGTTTTTTATTGTATTTAAAAAACGCCTTCAAAGTTGTTATGCAAGAAAACTAAATAAATAATTTGTCGGATTTTGAATTTGAAATAGGAGTTGGATTTGAGTGTCAGGACATTTATTAATTGAATGTTTTGCATACTGGAAAATTTTATGAGCAAACATTATATTTTGCAAGCTGTTTAAAATTGTAATATCTCAAAATAATATTTTAAAATGCAGAGTATAAAGATCATTATTTCTTTTATTTTACATATCTTATTTTAATTCAACATTTTGAAATTTCTTAAAAATGGTATTAAAAATCACGTAAAACTCTGTTTGAAAAATTATCGAGACATTTGAGTAAAAAGACTGCGGTTAAAAGATTAGTTAAACAATTGTCACTTAAACCAAATAAGATCTTAAAACATCACTTTCATCAATTTATTCTCCGTTAAGGAACATCACAGTGACGACTCTAGAACGATATTCATCATCTATATTATGTACATTACTGAAAGAAACAGATGGTCGGCAATCAACGCAGAACTCATTAGAAATTCACTTAGCATCATATTTCCGTTTTTCAGTCAAATAAATCAGCCACTGATGTTTGTGACTACCGAAAAAGATATAATTTAAGAAATAATGTTGTTTTGTAATGCGATGTTACGTTGTTTTGTAATGCATCGTTGACTTGTAATGCTGTTTTGTTTTAGTT